GTTGCTTCTTTTTGTCAAGACTTTCATCTTGTAAATAAAGTTTTAACACAGCCAGACATTTTGAATGATTGCTACCCATACTGTCGTAATAAACAATCGTCTTATCGCGAAAATCTATTATTGCCATACACCAGTAAACGTCCAAATGTACAGGCACAACCACAAGATCCTGCGCAAATATGTCCACCTTCCTAGTCCATCGCTTTAGCGACGAGTGACCACCCGACAGAAGTTTTGGGTTAAAAAACGTGTTCATCGCGTGCACTTTCGGATACGCGTCGGAAGATGTTTCTCTGGCGATTAGCAGATTCATATAAAAGTTTATCACTTCGTCGTTTAGCCAATTTAAGTCGACCAGCGTGTGAAGATCCTTTTGCGTAAACCTCAGACCGAAGCCTTCCACCACCACCACCACCTCCATACTGTGGTGGAAACCTTGCCACGAAGCACAAAAGTCACAATAGTCCTCGAGTAAATCTTATTATATATGAAAAGGGATATTAATAAATATATCGCACATGTATTTAGTATTTAATATTTTTTATTATATACTTTATATATATTACATATTTCAAACACTTTACATGTATCATTTTTATATTAAGAATAAAATTCAGTTTGCACGAATTAAATCACATTGTCCTTGTGTATCCATGAGTTGTGCGATCCATCGAATCCCAACCATTTCACGTAAACCTCGTCACCCCTTCTGCGCAGTACTTTCTCCGCGAGATACACGTCAGGATAAGTCGCGCGATGCAACTCGTACTCGTAGAACGCTCCAGCGACGGATTTTCCACGATAGTCCTCGAGTAGGTAGGTTACGGGATTGGTATGCTGCACTTTAACGATCTTAAACACCTCGGTGGTCCAATTCGGCGTGTAACCCTTCTCGAAAATTGTCTTGTATTTGCTGACGCGTACCGAGTCGCCCGTTTTGAACTTTGCCGGGCCCGCGATCTTTATAGCGCTGTACACCGTAGCCAAGAGTTTTTCGGCGATCGCGGGGGTAACGTTGACGGGTCGCATGCCGATCGTTTGATGCTTGCGCGCGTTGTAATCCGACACGAGTCGTGATAACGCGTCAAACCACTTGTAAGTTTCATTGAGCGTAAACATCTTCCACATGTTGTTTTTTAACGTGCGATTGAATCGCTCGACGACCGACGCCTTCATCACCGATACGTGGAATAATGATTGATGTCGTGCTTTTTCACGAGACGTTGCACGTCGTTGTAAAATTCCTTCCCCATGTCGGTTTGTAGATTACTAGGGCACCTCCCGCTATCTCGAATTATCTCAGAGATAGCGTCAGCTGTCTCGCTGCTATCTTTACCCTTGAGCGGCACGGCCCCTTGCTCAACACATCGATGACGATGAGTATGTAGTGGGAGCCTCCGTTGAAACGCGAGTACGGACGCATCTCGACGATATCAGCTTGCCACAGGTCGTCGTACCCTCGCACTATGACGTGTCTGCGGGGAAAATTTCTTCTCGCCGGTGCGTGCAATTCGTCCACCAACCGTCGCTTTTCGATATTTTTATTCACATCGGTCGATTTTAACGTTAAAAGATGAAAGTCTTGACAAAAAGAAGCAACCTTATGATATGAGTGACTGGAAATGTCAGTCCGCAAAGAACATTCCGCAACAGATGAATGGTAGCGATTGTGGCGTGTTTTCGTGAATGTTCGCCGAGTATGTCTGTGCAGGTAAATAAATTACATTCACGCAGAATGATATGCCATACCTTAGGAATAAAATGCTTAGGGAGATATTAACAGGCAATGTTGTATAATAAACTGTTTTCATTGAATAAATGATTATATTATAATTTACATTGCATTTAATATTTTGTAAAAGAATATATATATATCTTCACCCCGTTTACAATGTGAAGTGAAAAAAAATCAAAGTTTCACGTATATATTGTCACAATCTTAAAGAATCTCTTGCAGAAGTTATATCACATAAATGTATACTACATACATTTTTTACCCGGGGAAATCCTCATAGGATACCCCCAGCCTCCGGAGAGAGGCCGGGCGGTTATGTTCGGACTTTTACATAGATATATATATACATACATACATACATACATACATACATACATACATACATACATACATTATATACATTATATACATTACGTTATATTCGGTAATGTCCCCACGGCAACATATCGGTCGAATCCGGCATGATATATCGCTTATCGTCGTACGGATTCAGAGCGATTTTCGTCTCGCTAATAGTGTACACTTCGTGCATTTTTGATCTTATGCACGACTGTGAGTCGACTGATTCGCGAAGCGATATAAAATTAAGATTCATCGACTCGTACAAATTTCTGAGCGCGAGTCTCGCAAAATTGGCATCCTTCCTAGATAATGATAAATTGAAAATTATACGATCAAAATTTTCCGCGGTGTCTTTCACGTGTTTAGTAAATGAGATGTATTTTTCCTTTGTTATAGGCAGTACATCGATTGAGCCTTCGAACGCGGCAGCTATCTTCTTGATAATAAAGTGCGCGTCATAGCCCGACAGATTGTGGAATATTCCTGGGATGAAGTGAGAATCCTTATAATTTAGATTGCACGTCGAGTGTGCTGGACCTCTGTACCGCCCGGTCAGGTGGCAATGATCGCGCATTTTATTATCATCAGGCGCGAATTGTTGTTCGCATATGTGACATTTCGTCGCGCTGTGAAATGTCTTCCACTCGTCTCGCGTTAGATCTACCATGCATACAATGTCGGACAAGATGTTCTTTACGCGATGCGCCAATCCTTTGAGTTCCTCGACGAACCACGCGACGCAGTCGTTATCGCGACGAAATCGATACGTCGATAACGTTTCGTCGTACAAGCACTGTACGTAGTATGCTATACTACATACCCGATAATGTTGATAGGCGTATGACGCGTGTTCCGTATCCGGTTGTGTCTTCTGCAGCACGCACTCCAGATCGGCGTACACCACGAAGGGAAGTCGCTCTTTCCTACTGTGGTTCTTGAAGCTGAGTCACTTGTTGTTCTCGCTTGGTAGTCGGATTGCGCATTTCTTTACCTCTCGGCAGTCCACGGTGTGGGCTTCCAATTTCATGCTTGTGTAGAAATAGTGCAGACATCTACAAAAAAGAAACATAAATATTATGAATATTTTTACAAAAAACATAAAATGATATATATTATTAAAAGAAGTAGAGATACTTACCGATCGCAAATGTACTTCCGACTATGGTGCGTGCTCAATTGTGAGCTCACGAGACGGGATAGATCCTTAATCCATGCAAAATGTCCAACATTGTCGTCTCGTGGTTCCTGCACGTACCGCAGATTCACATGTTTTTTATCACTCGTGCGGTCGGTAAGCCGTATCGGGAGAACGTTTGAAGTCTTCTGTCCCTCGATGATATAGACATTGACGGATATATCGTTGAGTCGTTCGAACTGTTTAATTTGACTCAACGTCATTGGAAACTCAATGTCTTGTAAATTCAGTACCGTTGAATAATGCGGGTATAAAGATTCCCGTTCTGTATGTCTTTCGGCTGGATGCAAAGCAGCCGTCACGGCCCACGCAAAACACGCATTATCCATAGACAGCACATTGATCACCGCGTGCTTAACTTTAATGTCTTTAGGCAATTCCAAGTGACACCCCGCGCGCAAAGGATTGTACCTGTTGACGATCACCGTCAAATTGAGGATTCAAGTCAACGCCCACCCACTGTCGCGTTCCTGGAACTCCTCGAGTTTCGCTAATGTGAGCTCGATAACGTACAGCTCGTACCACTCGCGCAAGTGCGATGTACCACAGAGTTCTATGTTATTTGTATTAAAACTCTTATTGGCACGTTTATCACCCGCCACAAACTCCCCGTTGAACGCGGTGTTCACTTTGACAGAGTTATGTATTTTTATAATAGGGGTATTCAAATAAGTTAGAGTTTAACGGTTTGACAGGTTATATCGGGTTAAAGTCGGGTAAAAAGTTAATTTTTACATTTTTAACCCAAAGATTAATGTGATAGGTTAATGAAACACTTATGTATTTTGCATAACCTTAAAGAGTAGCGCGCCCAAAGTTAATTAATTAACTTTTTACTCGACTTTAACCCGACATAACCTGTCAAACCGTTAAACTTTAACTTATTTAAATACCCCTAATGTCTCGCACTCACTTGCACACGACGCTGCAGGCGTCTTCCAAAAACTGTCGCGGTTCTATATGGTCTGTATTAATTACCGCACCGGTCATTATACGCTTTTTGAACCCGGCGTCGATTTCTCGCCATACGAGTTCTGCCGCGCGCGTGTCACCACTGGTACCGGCGTTCGCATAATTACCACCGCTATGGATAAATTGTCTTTCCAATCGCGACTTCACACCCTCGAGTCGCGCGATTCGGGCAACCAACGATTGCCTCTGCCCGATCGTTGGATTGTCGGAGAGCCGCTGACGTTTGGCACTACAGCGTGTCTCGAGCTGCTCGACGAATTTCGCGCATTGCAGCGCCCATGTGAAATATTCACCCACGGTAGCTACTTGGTCGGACAGCTCCAATAGATCGCGTTCGGTTTGCTCGAATTGATCCATGTTTTATCTATTCAAATTTAGGTTGTTCATCACCACGAAGTCGACAACTGTAGTCGCCCAATAGCGATACTTCATTAGATATCAATGGTTTATATGGTAATAACGTTGCAGACACATATTGTTCATCACCATCATGCCAACCACTACTTTGACAAATTTTCCATTGCCACTTCCCAATAGTGACACTCCTTATACTCGGACCTAAAGTCAGGTTTATTGTAAAAGGAAAGGGTTTTGTCACAGATGAAGCTGTACGAGCTTTATCCTCGTTCCGCGCCTGTATGTACATTCTCCATTTTTAGCTACCGTACCAGTTATTATTATATCCAAAATCCTTGATAACAACTCCTTGTCTATGAACAATGCGTTTATCGGTTCCTCGTATGCGTTTATCGGTTCCCGAGTTCGCGATCGCGAACAAACTGCGCTTGTGAGTTTCGTTGCACATCCGTCGATTTTTCTCCTCGATCTTCTTCTTCACGCAAAGCATTGGCGATATCATCTAATAAAGATTCACTATAAAAAATATGATCGAAGTATATAAAGTCACTGCTTTCTTCGATTTCATCGATGTCAATTTCATAGTCCGGTGTCCATGAGCGATTAAATACCATTTCTTCTTGCTCACTGTTATAAAAAATGTTCACGTCGCAACCAATGTATCGCTCTAAAATCGTATACTAATGCGGCTCGATGCGCTTCATCCCTCATTATATACCTTTGCCCTCTCTCTCGCTCCTACTGATTTTTTGAAAGATCTTTTCTTCCTTTGTTTTACGTAGTGCGTCGTAAAAAAATAGCGCGAAATTGTTTAGTCTACGCGATAACACCCCCTTTTCCTAGAAAACTGTTGTTTACGACGAACGTGTCCCGACAGGTTCGATGCGTTATCGGGTTGATCATCGTTTCGATGACGTCATTTTTTCCTTTGTTTTTCACGTACTGCGTAGATAGATTGGTTTTTATGTATAAATCATGCTATGTATATTTTCTTCGCGCGCATTTCTATTCGAGCCGTATATGCGACGTTCGCCGGAGCATCAGTTGCGGTTGCATTGGCAATCATATATTGCATTATCGCATATCATAACATAGAAAAGCAAGGTGCCGATGTTCCGGTGGATGTTGGCTCTCACAGGTGTAATGTGAGACATATTTTATCTTACGACTATCAGTTTTATACACCGCCATTATATTTTTCTGTGGCGACTTCTGCAACCGTCATTGAATTCAGTCTCGTCGTGGCTGTGTAGCGCGAGTACAGATCGAGCGACTGGAGTCTGTTCTCTTTTATTTGTGATTTTAAGTATGCGGTGTTTATTGTGTGACCGCTTTTACGTGCCATCGACGTGTGTGACCATTGTTGGCGTTCTTACTATGGCTGCGCGCCGCTCGTGCAGGCGCCGTGCGTGTGGGCGCCGCGCCTAGTGCGCGAATTGCCGCAAATTTGGGCTCGGGGCCGGCGTCGCCCTCTCCCTCTTACGCGGAGGCGGTTGTCGCGTCTCGTTTGATGCCTGACGTCCCCCTGCAAGTTGCTCGTGCGGGCGCCGTGCGTGTAGGCGCCGCGCCTAGTGCGCGAATTGCCGCAAATTTGGGCCTGGGGCCGGTGTCGCCCCCTCCCTCTTACGCGGAGGCGGTTGTCACGCCTCGTTTGGTGCCTGACGACTCCCAGCAAGTTTCGGTGGATGTGACCACCGGTCGACGAGTGGTTCGCCGTAAGACGCTATAGAGGCGTTTGAAGGCGCTCCTCCCGCGCCCCGGGCTTCCGTTTTGGGGACACGATATCCGCGCCAGGCCGCGCGCGGGAGGACCTGTTCTGCCTGACGGGGTGCCCGATTTCTCCTCGTAGACGAAGCGTTGATTGCTTACGCGAACCGCGTAGCGAGTTTGTAGAGAGATAAAAAAACGTCTACTACTAAGGGGTATAAGTTTCTGGTGAGACGCTTACTAAACGTAGTACTTCACGCACGTAAAGTAACAATGGAACAAGACTATTATGTATCAATGAGGAGATTTTCGATAATGTGGATGGCGGTTCACCCGTACCCCTTTCATAAGCAACAGAGGATACCGCTACGTCAAAACCATATAAGTATAAACGTCGTAACGTATCTCAATGTCAGGGAGATAGGAATGTTAAACAGAAGAGGAAACCGAATGATGTCAGGAATCTTTTTCCAACTAAAAATATTTGAGAACGCGGAGGGGTGGGTAAACCCGACCCATATAGATCGATTCCTTCGGGCAGTGGACACTCAAGAAAACATGGGCGTTATTTTATGTCCGTGATTCCCGAAAGTTATTTCGAAGGATGTCGCAAGACTTTGAAGAATTTCGACTGTCAGGTAATAAATAGAGAAAATGTCAATGCTTTGTGTGAGAGAATATTCCCCCCCCGCGGCCCCCCCACGCGGCCCCCGCGGACCCTCACGCGGCCTCCGCGGCCCACGCGGACCCCCATGCGGACCCCGCGGCGCGACCGCGACCGCGAACCCGCGGCGCGGGTGAATCATCCCGGTGACTCATCCCGGTGAGTCATCACGGTGGTATGCCAAGGTCAACCCCCCTCTTCCCCGCGAAATCCGTTATCCTTGAAACTCGATATTCTTGTGTAATCCGATACCCTTGTGTAACCCGATACTGCGCCCCTCCCCTCTCCCCTCCACTCCCCCCCCGCGTTATCTCCTTGCAACCCGATACCCCTGTGTAACCCGATACCCCGCCCCTCCCCCTCCACCTCACTTCCCCGCGAAATCCGATACCCCCCTCCCTCACTCCCCCTCGGAGCACCCGAGTTAGAACCCGCCTAGGTTAACTACTCATGTATAAATATATACTCTATAATGGATCTATCCATATAAATTTGTATAACTGTTATAAATATTCTTCTAATAGTATATTATTTTACTTGACAATATCAAATTAATATAAAATATATTATTTTTAGTTTTAATTTACACAATTGCGTTTTTAATCCGACAAAGTCCATATCGGAACGCAGTGCCAATTTAAAAAACTGAAACATGTGTTTAATAATAATTGATATTGTGATATATTATTAAGCATTAAGATCCGCTTCGACCGAAAACGGCACTTCTTATTGCTTATATGTTATTTTAAGTTTTTTTTTTAATTTTGCATAAGATACTTAATTTTTTTAATTGACATATTAATTTTTGTTTTTCATGGAAAGGTTGAAGGTTTGGTTGAAGGTCTGTTAATTTTCAAGAAAAATTGTAGTATCTTATAAACATCTAAAAAAAGCAAATTTATGTAGATTTTCATGAATTCATGGGTTGTAAAAGGCTTAAGGATTTTGTCGTTTTCTGTAGAACCTTGTAGTATTGTATGCAAAATTACAACCATTCACGAATCAGAAATTTACATAGGTAAAGAATTGTACATTTATGTATTTTTCTATTGGACTTTACAACAGAGACTATACGAAAATAAAAACATAAGTATTTTGATTTCTGCGAATTAAGAAGTTATTAATAATGGATGAATTTTGGAAGATTTGTGTAAGAACTTGTAACATTTAACTAAAAATGACAAATTTTAATTAGCCATAATTGTAATAAATTTTTTAGATGTACAAACAAATCGATATTTGTTAATATTTGTACGCAGTTGTAGTATTTTATGAGAAACTAACAACTGAATTGGATTCTAAGTTGCACAGTTTTACGATATGTAAATTGTGGTAGATTTCTATAGTCATTTATAAATAATTGTAGTATTCTACAAGTAAACAGAGGTTTTAATTTTTTAAATTTTTTTTTTTTTTTTTTTTTTAATTTGTTGATCTTTGTACTATTTTTTATAAAATTGTAGTTTTTCATAAAATACTACTTGTAATAATTTCTTGATTTGAGAACATTGTAATTTGTGGTACTATTTCGTAGATATTTCTACAAAAAAATTGAAAAATTACACACCGTGTTCGTAATCAGCGACCTCGAAAACATATATCTACCGATTTTTATGCAATTCAGGGGATCGATTGTGGCTGTGTTCCTTTATTCACTGCCAGTACTGAAAATCTATAGTTACGTGACGCAAACTATATATTTTCAGCACTGCCCATAAAAAAGGAACACGGGATGTGTATCTTGAAACGAGGTAAAAATTACAAAAGTGAGCAGATTAATTACTAGATTTCGACAAATAAAATCGTAGATATACTTTAGTGAATTTCATTATAAATTATAAATTTTTACCTCGTCTCAAGGGGCTCGATTGCTATCTTGAAATAAGGTGAAAATTACAAAAGTGAGGACATTCACTAAAGTATCTACGATTTTATTTGTCAAAATCTAGTAAATTTGTTCACTTTTGTAATTTTCATTTCGTTTCAAGATACACAATCAACCCCAAGTGCTGCGCTCCGATATTCACTGCCAGTAATAAAAATTTATAGTTTACGTCACATATATAGATTTTCAGCTGGCATTGAATAACGGAACAGCCAAGATACGCAATCGAGCTCCTGATATTCGTCAATTTATGGTGTTTTAGCCGAAATTCCCCACTGTGTGCCGTGTGTACGACGATCGGTTAAAGACGCCCACGAAATTAATGTAATATATGTATTTTTTTAAGCTCAGCGTTTAAACAATACTAAACGCTGGATTCATAAACGACAATTTGTACGATCGGTTTCTTGGACGGCGGGGACGTCGCTGATGCGGCGATGTCGCGCAACACTGCTTCGATAGCTTCCTCCCAGTTCCGATCCTTTATGACACTCCGGTCGATGGACGCAGACCATCTCAAACGCGGCATAGATATAACCGTCAGTACTTTCCTGAAATTAGCGTTTCATTGTTAATCTCCTCCAAACAACTTCTTTGAAATTACAGTGCAATAGAGAAAATTTAATAATGACATTTTATATAGCTATAAATTATAAAGAAATTGATAAAGAGAGAGAGATATATATATACCGCAGATCAGAGTGCAGCGCCGACATGTCGCCGCCCGCTTGTTCGCCAAGTTTCCTGAGAGTTTCAGCTAATGGGCCACTTAGTCTTTGCAACCTCCTCCAGGACTGAGTGTATTGTCGTCTGACAAGTTCGATGATAGTGCTAGTCAGCGCCAAGCCGACTAAGATGTATAAGGTACACAATAAAGTGTACTTTGGTTTCTCTAAATATGATTAACAGACACTATATAGTTAATACAGTAACATTTTTTTCACAGACAGATGTTAATGAATTATCTACTTTTATCGAAACTAGCTCCTATCTTTATTCACAACAATCTACATTTACTATTGTCATTTACTAATATGACTATTATCATATTATTATAACAAAACTGCATTTTCGTATCTTTTCATGCTTTAAGGCTCCTGGGTACCCGAGAAAAAAAGATTATATATTTTATATATGAATATATATATAATTATATATAATGCAATTATATATGAATTTTGTCTCTATATGATCATATATGACATATATAATTATATATAATTATATATAAACATATATAATGAGATTATATATATGTAAAAATATATATAATCATATATGACCATATATAGTCAATATATATTGAAAAGAACTGTTAACTTCAATAATAAAGCATTGACTCAGATAGCAACGTGTTTGCATTATTGCTGGCATGTTGCCGACAACATAATATGTGTTGCTACCAGAATTGTGGCAACTTAGTCCGCATTTGTCGGCAAGTTGATGCCTTCACAATATAACAATTATTTTGTATAGCAACTTGCTAGCAACTTGTTGGCAACTTATGCTACGGTCTAAAATCGTCTGATTCAAAATTCGAGCTGTTGCTGTCATGTTGCTGTAATAATTCACAAGATCACACAATGCTGTTATATTGTTAACAACGCGAAGTAAATTTGATGCTGCTCTCTTGCCGACAAATTGCTGGCAATACATATATCCAATGTTGCCTGCGTGTTGCTTCAAATATTAAATTACTCAAAATCAATTGAAGCAAATGTACGGCAAGTTGCCAGCATCATAAGCAATCATAGATTTGCGCAATTTTGCTCAGACACGTTTTGCTATCTGGGGATAAATTAAATGTGTATTTTTTCAAAAGTTATAGAATCAAAAGTAAAATGATTTATCCCATATTATTATAACTTGGCACTGTTTCACGTGAGACACTGCCGTGTCTCTTGATACCATCCTTATACCACTGTTCGTCAAATTTTAAATACGAGAAATAAATTTAATAAATCCTATCGGATGCCATCTATCGGACAATCCGAATTTAAAAGTGTAATATATATAATGCACATGTGTTGTGTTTATATATGGTTATATATAATTATATATAATCTATGTGGATAAATGCTTTTTATATTGTATTGTATATCGTTTATTGTATCCCCTTGGGGTTTACAAGGCGTTTTTTCCGGGGAACATTCCCAAACTCCTTACAAAATTTAACTCTGCCCGATTACCCGGCCTGGCAAAATGCTTTTTATATATAATTTATAAGAACTCATATATAATCATGTTAAATTGTATATGAAACATTATATACACAGTGTAACAATTTTCCACCTAGACTTTTCTCATAAAATCCAAACAATTCAATATTTTTTAAAACTCTTTATATTTGTTATATATATATATATATATATATATATATATATATATATATATAAAAGTTGAA